CCCCCCCCCGCCCAGAGGCGTCCCCCAGCGCAGAGACTCCCCCGGCACAGGAACTCCCCCCAGCACAGAGCACTCCCAGTGCCTGTCGACGGTAGAGCCTCGTGGGGCTCCTAGGACCACGCTCGGACATCACCGCTGACCCCACAGGACCGTTGAGCCAGAGCCCAGCCCACCGTCGCGGTGGCCGCGGCTCACCTGCTTGCAGTCCGTGGGCAGCTGTCAGGGCCTCCGGGCGACCTCGGGCTGCCGCTTGATCCCCTCTGGGGCAGGCCGAGGTCGAGGTGCTGGTCTCGGTCTCCTGGGTGTGTTCTTGTGGAGCTCAGTGGGGCAGAGATGCACACGTTTCTCTCCGGCCTTGCCAAGCCACTGCCCTTCACCCCAAGTAGCCTGGGTCCCTGGAGTTCCCCTCCCCAGCAGATCCTCGGTGCTTTGAACGGTGGCTTCCTGCCTTTCCCAACCAGCGGGTCTGCCTCGCGCCCAAGAGCCTGAGGCCACAGGAGGCTTAGTCCTGGTCACTTTGGCCTCCACGTGACCGTGACCTGGAGGTTGGACACTCGCCACCCCCGGAACTGAACTTTTTACTTCTTGGCTCAGTTCTTTGGGGAATTCTTCTCATGTGATCCATGCGTTTCTGGGGCCTGTGGACTTTGCTCTGGTCCCTGCAGGCTGGAGGGCTCCTGGGCGCAGGCTCTGGGTGGGGGTGGAACACGAATACGGAGGCAATGCTGGGGGGCAGGACGAGGGTGCAGGTAAGCAGGGGGGCTTAGCAAGGGGAGGACAAACAACCACCAAGGGTGGAGAGGGTGCTGCCGGGCCACCCTCAGCCTGTCCCCTCCCCATCTCTCAGTTACTGGGCTTCAGACCTCAGCTTAGGGGGAGGTTCTGGGGATGGGTATTTGAGACACTGGCAGAGAGAGAGTCTTCCTGCTGGGGGGCATGTTCTTAATCCAGGGCTGGATCCTAGAGAGGAAAGCATCCTAGCCAGAGGTGCATCTTGTAGAGGGAAGTGAGTGGGGCCTTGGAGGGGCTCCGCAGCAACCAGGCTGTGCTGGGAAACTCTGATGACATCAGCCTTAGTCCCCACAGCCGCCTTACCTCTTGGGGGAAACTGAGGCACAGGTGTGTAGCCTCCACCTGTTCAACCAGGGAGGGAGCGTGGGATTGGAGTGGCCTGGGGTATTCTCCCTTTCCTGGAGGAACACACCTTCCTTTCCTCTCCAAGGCCCCATTGCTGGGCCGCAAGGGTGAGTCTGTGGCAAAGTTGGGAGGGTGTGCCAGGGAAGAAGTGGGAAAGCTAACAATGTTCCCCAGAGCCCTAAGTGGGCAAGGGGCACCGTGGACACCCGCAGGTCTCCTTGCTGTGCTTCTAGAGCCCTTAAAGCCCCCAGGAGGCCAAACCTGGTGTGGATGTCTGAGGTCCTCTGTCAGCCAGTCAGGCTGGGCCTGCTGGTGCCTGAGGGGTTAGCCACCCATCCTGCTGGGCATGAGGAGCCATGGTCAGGGCAGGGCATGTGCCCACTGGGGCTCACTGTTCCCCCACCATTCCCGGGGCTGGGGGCTTCCGGCAGCTGTGGGGCCACCCTGTAAATTTGCCCCATCCCGCACCTTGCCTTTTCCTCTCCTTAGTGCCTTGCTCTGGTTGTGGGACAAGGGGGTGTCAGGGTCACTGCTGGTGCACAAGAGGCTCAGAGCTGCTGACCCGCTACATCTAGGGCTCCTGTTCTGGGAGGGGCATGGGTCTGGTGGGGCCAGTGAAGGTTAACAGGCCAGAGGTACCCCTGGCCAGTTCTCCTCCTAGTGAGAGAACAGATGGAGGAGAGAATAAGATAAACTGAGGTGATGTCCACTGGTTGGGAGGGCTGGCTTGGAGGCTGGTTTGGGTCAGGGATGTGGGCTTTGTTCTCTGGACTGCTGTTCAATCCTGATGCCACCACCCGCTCACGGTATGTGACATGGGCAGGTCACTTCCCTCCCCAGCCCAGGGTCCTGAGCTGAAAAACGGGGGTGGTCTCCCTTGGGGGTCGTGGAAGGGATGCCCCTGTGGGCACCATGGGCTGGAGCTGGACTGTGGGCAGCGTGCCTTGGCCACCATCCACAGGTGTGTGCTGGGGCTGTGCCCTTTCCCCCACCAAGCCCCAGCCTTACAAAACTATAACCTCTGGGGCGGGGCAGGCGGGTGCCGCCTCGACCCCAGGGCCACCACTTTGGTCCTTGCAAATTCACAGCTCCTGGCTGTGATTTCCTTCTACTTAAAAATTGACATCTAGAAAGTTGAAAAAAAAAAAATTTGACATCCAGCCTGCAAGTTTTCAGCCTCTTGGGGTGATAGTGGCTTGCAGGCAAGGGGGGCTGTCCAAGTTGAGGACAAGCCTTTATGCCCTCTGGTCTGTGCCATAAGTCAGGCAGCAAGTGAGCCTGGGGGGAGCCCCTGTGCCCTTCCAGGTCTCCACCTGCACATTTAAGATTCTCTGCGGCCACCAGACCCTGCCAGCCCTGGGGCTGGCGCGACCCTGCGCCCCTCAAGCTACTCCTCTTTATTTTAGTGCCCCTCTCACCTGAGGAGGAACCCAGAGCGGCGGTGGGGCACCTGAGCCCAGGAAGGCGAGCAGGCCGGCCGGGACCGCGAGTGCCTGGCGGAGTGGCCGGCGCAGCCCAGGACTCCCGGCTCCCACCTCCTGCTGTAGGTGCGGGCCCCATTCCCTCCACGGCCCCGTCCCGGGCCTTGTGTGCGCAGGGTTTGGCCAACTGCTGCCCTGGGACCAGCGGCTCCCTGGACGTCGTGTGCAGCACCACAGGGGGCCACGTCGTTCAGGGCTGCCCCTTGTCTTGGGCCCATGGGGAGTGGGCTGGGGTTGCAGTCTCACTCTCCCCCTCAGGGATTGCTGCCTTGGCACTCTGGGGGCAGCCGGGGAGAGGGAAGGGCACAGGTGCCCTGTTCTTGCTTGGGTCTGTTCTGCCACAGTGGGGCATAAGCAAGATGCAGAAACTTCTGTGGGGGGAGAACACAGCCAAAAACTGCACCCCATGGGTGGGGTTGGGACAGAAAAACCTGGTCACAGCTTCAAGTTAGAACCTGGGCTGCTGGAGGCCTGGCTGGACAGGGAGAGGAAGCAGGTGGCAGTGAGGGCACTGAGTGCAGCCCTGCCTGGGGCCTGGGACACAAAGAGCTAGGGACCTCTCCCTGGCCTACAGTCACTCGCCTCCCTCAGGACCCAGGGCTGCAAGTGTGAGCTGAGCTTCTGGGGCTTGGGGCCTGCTGGAGAGAGGTCTTGGCCACTGATGGCTGCAGGCGGCTGCTCTGTGGTTCAGGGAAGTGCCCAGGCTGGCGGTGGGCGTGGCCCGAGGCTGCTCTTGATTTCCACCGAGCAGCACCTGGGCCTGGGACAGGTGCTGACCATGGTTGTCTCCTCCCCCTTCTGCAGTCCAGGGCCGAGGCTTGTGTTCAATCGAGTGAATGGCCGGCGGCCTTCCACCATGTCCCCATCCCTCGAGGGGACCCAGGAGACCTACACACTGGCCCATGAGGAGAACGTCCGCTTTGTGTCTGAAGGTAGTGAGAGGGGCTGGAGGGTGTGGCCTGGGCCACTGGGTCTTAGTAACATGCAAGCTGGGACCTCTTCCCCATTGCAACCTGACTCCCAGCAGCTAGAGGGCTGGGCTTTTCCTTGGCTCTCTGCTCCCTTGTCCTGTGACCGTTGAACAGGATGCCCACTCCCTGTGCTGGGCTGGAGTCCAGGGTGGCCACCAGGCCCTGGGGGTGGTAGATGCCAGCGGCCTGGCTCAGCCTGTCTGCCCTGCCCCCACAGCCTGGCAGCAGGTGGAGCAGCAGCTGGATGGTGGCCCAGCCAGTGAGAGCGGGCCGAGGCCTGTGCAGTACATGGAGAGGACCCCCAATCCCCGGCTACAGAGTGAGCCCCCCAGCCTCTCCCCCTGGGCAGTCTCCCACTCCTGATTCTTCCTGAGCCTAGCCCCGGTCTCTGAGATCTCCCCAGTCCCTGTTGCCCCAGCAAGTCTCCTCCCACCGTTCCTGTCCCCCAAGGGAGTCCCCCCATAGCCCTCGTCTCCCCAGGTAGTACCCCCCCAGCCCCTCTGACCCTGACCCAGGCCCTGCCAGGTTCCACCCCCAGTGCACGAGGGAGGAGGTTCCCGAGCCCGACTTCCTTCTTCCCAGCGTCTGCTATGTTTGGAGTCCAGGTGATGGGTGGTCAGCTCAAGGGGAGAGATGCTGACCAGTCTAGGAAGTGGCATCACTGCCCAGCCTTCTCTGCCCACAGACTTCGTGCCCATCGACCTGGACGAGTGGTGGGCGCAGCAGTTCCTGGCTAGAATCACCAACTGCTCCTAGCACCTGCCTGAGAAGGAACACTGCCATGGCGGACCCTTTGCCAGAAGAGGACCCTGGTGCCCAGTCCACCCATGGTGGTCTGGCTGGGCGCTGGCCACACCTGAAGTGCCAACATTTGGACTTTTGCACCTACCTTTCCCTTGGCCTAGCTGTTCCAAGCTGCCGGGGACTGAACCTGTCAGACCTCAACCCTGCTCACTGTGCCCAGGGAGCACAGGAGGAGCTCCAGGCTAATAAAGTGGACAAACTACCTTTCCAGAGTGGCCTTGACTTGGGGTGTGGGGGGTCCTCGTGTCCAGTTCCTGTACACTGTGGTACTCCTGGACCGGCAGAGGCTACAACTCTGCCTGACTTGGCCCTTGCTTCTCACCCAGCTGCCCAGCTGTGCCCTGACAGAGGTACTAGGCTGGCTCTTTGGAAGTCTGTGGACCCTACTCTGCCCCACCCAACTCTGCTCCCCCTTCCTCTCCTGTTGGCATTGACTGGTGTCAGAGCCAGACCTCAAGGGCCAGAGATGCTGAATAATTGGTCCTGGAATGGGATCCTAGCCCCCCAGGACTGGGGCTGGGTCTCAGGATGCCACGTCCTGTTCTCTCAATCCACCAGGCCTGGGTGCAGGACACCAGGCAAAGGTGTCCTGCAGGTCTTGGAGTGGGTAGTGAGCCTGTGGGGCAAGTGGGGGAGCTCTGGCGGCTTGGGAGCACTGGCCCAGCTTTGCCTGATGGACAGGGATGACCTTGGCGGCCTGACACAGGAGGGCCCAGAGTGCCCTGGTGTTGGCCAGGTTCCTCCACAGGGCTTGAGAGCAGCAGAGAGAGGCCCAGCCCAGTGAACAGGCCTCCGTCCTCCCTCCCTCCCTCCCCACCCCACTTATACAGAGGGAGGACCCTGCCCAGGGCGGCCGCACGAACCCCGAGGCACAGATGGGCGGCGGCGGAGGCCCCGGGGGCGGGACGCCGTGCGGTCACGTGGCCGGGCGCCGCCGTGACGGCAGGGCGGGCGCGGCCGGCGGCCGGTGCTAAGCGACGCGGTGCC